CTCAATTATGAACCACAAATTTCAGAAAACTTATAAAATTAAGGAGGTAAGTGAAGTGACTGGCATATTTCCGGTTAGATTTACTCAACAATTAATTGACGAGAGAAGTACGGTTGGGTCTGTAGCATTCGGAAAACGAAAATGGAGAAAAGAATGTTCATTCAACAGAATTTGGCCCTCTGAAAATCTTAATTATGGTGAAATTTATGAAATTTTCATTGGCCAATAACATTTGTCCACAAAATAGAGATTCTGATCTGATTTAATTCTCATTCTATCAATGAAAACTATAATAATATTCCAAAATCTCGATTAAAAAATTAGTTATATAGTGCAGTTAACTTTTTCTTCTGATAAATTCTTCCACCGCTATTTATGTTCTGGCTGGCTATATTGGCTAACAGGACGAGAACGCTTCGCCAAAGAGTCGCTTGTGGATAGAAACACAGATGAGCATTTGCAGTCGGTACATTGAAGAATTCTCAATTTCTATATCGCATTGTTTTTTTGTCGATATTTTTTTATTAATAAATTTTTTTTTGTTTACTTTTATTTGAAAAAAGAAAACAGCATTGATAATTGATAAGATTATTACAAAAAAATTGCAATAATTTATGGTTCTTATTAGAATTTAGCGATAAAAACGGAAACAAAGTTTGGAATATTTTCTGAAACGTCACTAAGCGTTTAAATGAGAAAAATTATTTATATTCATTGGTTCGAAACGGTTTCTTATCTTTTTGAAGATGGAAAGATATAATTTCTTTTTAATTGCGTCCTGGACGCTTAATGCAGTATTTTTATTGAAAAGGCAAAAATACTAAAGTAAAAAATTACTAAAGTAAAAAATAAATAAGATAGGCACAATTTGCAGGACCGGTTGTCTGAATTGATGGTTGTATCCTTAAAGACAAAAAGGATTGCATTAGCCTTTTGTCATTGGTGATGATCAATCCATGGTAGACACCCTCCGAATAAGCTATATTAAAAATGGGTAAATATCAGCAAGAGCTATACATATTTATTTATTAAGGCTAGAATAAAGGCTAGAATAATTATCCGTATAATATCCGATTTGGCCGAAATCAATTTGATTGATTGCGTCTCCACTCGCCAATCACTAAGATAATGTAATGAAAGTACACAATGGTGATAGCTGATGAAAAATGGATCATTTATGGATTATTTAATGTCAGGCGACAAAAATATACGAAGCGGATCATCATCTTCGAACTCACATAAGAAAATCCCGTATCCCGACAAACACAAGCACTCTATAAATTGAAATACTGAATTTGCCAGTTAACCGCATAGCTTGCGCATAACTTCGTGCTATTTTTAAACAAAATTTAGATGAATAATACGACTAGAATTATATACAGTTTTCTTGTGAAATTTTATAGTTGCATGGAGAGATCAAGGATAGAAAAGCAGAGAGTTAATCGGATCATACATTTATTCATTTCTTTGTTTAAAACCATTTTTAAAAACTATTTTTATTATTATTTCTTATTAGGTTCATTGGAGATAAAATGTCGTCGCTAGGAAGTCATTTGGAGATAGAAGGCCGGACAGCCGGATCTTGGTTTTTTGCTAATTTGCAGCAGTATTATATTTTCATGCATAAATGAACAAATAAATGAACAAAAACTAAAAAAGAAAAATACAGTGATGTGAGCAACAGAAAAGAAAAGAAAAAGTCCATTAAATGTAAAATAATATGATAAAATGACAAGAATGGAAGGAAATAAAAGATTTTGCACGCATTTATGAATTTAATTTCGTTCGTTCGTTCGTTATAAGATTTTACTATCATTTTTACTATTCAGTCAGCTCGATATTTGTGCCTTTAAAAATATTTTTTTTTGTATTATTGAAATATTTTGCTAATACTTAAAATATTAATAAATATCTATACTATAAATATTAATAAATATAATTAATAAACTTTTAAAATGCTCATTAATTTCAAAAAAACTTTGTAAAAGTTCATTTTTACCTTAAACATCTCAGGTTCGCTTGATCAAAGTTATTCAGCATGTTATTTTGATATGCTTAAAAATATTTCCTATAAACATTTCTATATGAAATTTCCTATAAACATGGATGATGGATGGAACGGTTGCAGATTATGGCCACTCTGCTGATTATATTGCCATTAATAATAAGAATAATAATAATTAAAAAAATTGAAACCTTTAGAATTGATATGAAGAACGTTACATTTTTGAAAGGAAAGGGTAATTTATCTATCATATAGCCAGCTGGCTATTCTGTTAAAGTCCTCTTGCAGTGGAAATAGGCTATCTGATTTAAATGAGAATAATAAACTTTACAATCATCAACATAAAGATAAATAGTAGAATTTAGTACCACATTAGTTACATCATTTATATATAATAGAAAAAGCAATGGCGCAATACAACAATCTTGGGGAACATCAGATTTAACAGGTATTGTGTCAGAGAGAGTGTTATTGACGCGTACGGCTTGGTGGCGATCTTTTATGTAATTTGACACCCAGTTATAAAGAGCCCCTGTAATACCATAACTATTAAGAATGATCAATAATTTGTTATGGGAAACAGTATCAAAAGCTTTAGCCAAACCTAAATACACAACATGATATTGTTTTTCTTTTATCAATTGATGCAGACCAATAGGAAAGATTTGCCAATATTTGTGAAGAAGTGGATTTTTTTGTACAAAAGCCATGCTGATAAGGAGATATAAAATTATAGGCATTAAGATAAGCAACCAATTTGTTGCAAATCAACCTTTCGAGTACCTTGCTACCAACGCAAGTTAGGCTAATAGGTTATAATTAGAAGGATCACAGGTGCTTCCTTTTTTATGAATGAGAACTATATGGGACAATTTCCAAATCTTGGGATTAAGGCCAGATTTCATAATGTCTTTATAAATTAAAAATGGTGGAAGACTAAGTGAAACTAATTTTTTATAAATTATTTGTGGAATATTATTGGAACCAGCTGAAATGGACGGCTTAAGTCTATTTAAAGCATCATAAACATCCAATAGTATTGTTTCAACTTGACCGAGAGAAGTGCAACAAATTCGATTTACGTTAAAACAAGAAGTATGAGTATTATCCTCAAATATACTGGAAAAATATTGATTAAATATACTTGCAATATTAATATCAGATGTGATCACATTATGTTGTAAAATTAATTGCTTACGTGGATTTGAAAGTTTTCTTTTGACATAGGTCCAGAAAGAATTTCTATTAACATTTAAAATTTGCTTCGCTTTATTTGAAAAGTAATTATGAACGGCACCATGGAAATTTCTTAAATTCTTAAATTCTTAAATTCTTTATATGCAGAAAGGCGAAACTACCAAAACTATTCATTTATGAGAACGAACGAAAGATTTATTGAAGCATATGAATTTTTTAAGACTTATATTCTTTATATTCACTTTTGGTTAATATGAATTTGTTATAAAGCTTCTTGACATTTTTTTAAAGAGATTTTAAAAAAAATGGGAATCGACTTAAATTTTTTGTATAAAAGCCATGCTGATAAGGAGATGAAAATTATTGGCATCAAGATTTAAATTTTTACAATTTTGTTCTTATCACTGGCTAGAGAATCGCACCATGAAATCGAAACAACCACTTAGTCATTCATTTTTCAATTGCAGGATTTTTAAACAATGTGGTTTCCCTGGGCCATATTAAATGAAGAATTGTCTTAAGAAAAAACGAAGAAGAGAAGAGAAAAGAGGAATCTTGGGTCTATATGTAGTATAATTAAGAAAGTTGAAAAAAAAGTTCCACTCATTTTTTATATTTCATATTAAAAATAAAATTAAATGAAAGAAGAGTACCATAAAACTATAATATATTTGAACTTATTTTTGTGAAATATCAATGTCTATTTCGAAGGAAGTTGTGGCAATTTGCACTGAGTTCTTCTAAGATTTTAAACAGACCATTACTGGCTTTACTAGCTTTCCTGGGCCTTGCATCGAATATTCCTTGCACTTTAATAAGGCTTTACCGCCCACTCTGCCAATGTAACTCTCACCGGTATTAAAATCTGCTGCTAGAATCAAAATGAAATTATTTTTCGACATGATGATGAAATAAATTTATAAATTTATAAGCAGGCTGAAATTCATGCCTTTATCTTATTGCATTCACTTTCATGAAGAAAAAAAGAAATTTAAAAAAAAAATTTTTTGCAATATAGCAACATCCTTGGAAATAAAAAAGGGCTCTTTATTATTCGCCTAAAAAATTTTTTAAAAAATGCAATATTTTACAAATTCGATACAAAGTCAAAGTCTTAAAAAATTCATATGCTTCAATAAATCTTTCGTTCGTTCTCATAAATGAATAGTTTTGGTAGTTTCGCCTTTAGATTTAACAAATCAGTTAAGTTAATTAAAAGTTCACAAAAAATTGTTTAAATCCAGATTCTACTGTTAATTATGTGTTAATACTTAATCTGTTTTGGACTCATTAAGGACTAAGAATTAAACAAACTAGATAACTGTTTATAAGATTGGTTCTGGACTATTGGAAATTCGATGACCTTTCTTGAAATTTCAGTAATATTAGAGGTAAATGGATTAAGGCACTGGAATTTATTTTCAAGGCTAAAATAATGTCTCATTCGAATGTTGGCTAGTGAAGTAAACTGCTTACCAATGCAGTATCTGCAATTTCAGTAGCTAGTTTAAAAAAAAACAATTGTGATATTATTTAGCATAAACATAAACATATCTATAGCATATTATATATGTCCTTCATACTTTTTATTGCTTTAAAATTTATGTTATGTGTCGATCTTCTAAAGATAAAGAAATTTGATAAGTATGGTCGGATATTTGATATCGGACGATCAAAATCATCTACAAAATGATTTGAAACATAAGAAAGCAAATGATTCTGTAGATTAGTGATTAACGGATTCTTTAAAAGATCTTCGTTTTTATGAACAAATATTTTTTATTTTTATTAAGATGGATTAAGTACGATGTTGGGATGGGAGCACCGTAGTCCAACTTCTTCTCGAAGATGGAAGATATCGTATCTTTAAGCGAAATGGATTGTCATTGAAGATGAAATCCGCAGCATTTTCATGAAGCCATCGAATTGGTGGTTTTTTAAGTCGGTTATCAATTGGCTCAGGCAAATTGGCGTTAATCCCTTTATTCGTAGGATTTTTTTGAGCAATATCTTTTCTTACCTAGAAATTCTTTACTTTAAATGCACTTTTATGCTACGTTCATTGTAGCAGTTTTATATCATATGAAATTGTCTTAAGAAAAAACGAAGATCGACACATCTTCGTTCTTGAACCGTTAGGTGCGAGAAAGTGTCAAATGAAATATGGCATTAATCCACTAACCTCAGCATAATATTGAATTCGGCCAGGATAATCGTCGTAGCGATCACACACATGCATAACTAATCCATTATAAGCTATCTCACCAATTTTTAATTTTATCCAGTGTTTCGATTCATTCTGATAATAACAACCTGAAATCGGATTCAATGGACTTAATTTTTTGGATTATGTCTAGTTCTCGACATTTTTGCAACCATCGATTGCTATAAAATATGCTAGAGCTAACCTGTAACCCAGCGACCCGTATCCAAACAGATCCAATTGAAAAATCCATCTCGAAATTCATCCCCAACATGAAATTTCGTTTCATTGATCATGCAACGAGGTTCTATAATTTTAAAACATACGATAATAATTGCAAATGCTGTTTCCTTTAGTTCACTTGATAAATTATCAATGAATAATACTTCTAATAGAATATTTGCACTGGTCATAAGTATAAGAGCAGTTCATTAAAGAGAGGATAGAAATATATGTGGGTTCTGGCGACTAAATCGTTCAAAATCGTTCAAGAATCTTAGAATTCCAACCTTCTTCATATTTAATTCTTTTTTCATCCGATTCGCAACTGAACCAAAATCCATCAATTGTTACATTCGTATTCATTAATATCAATCGTTTCTCAGTCGTTTTTTCATGTGTTAAACATCCAATAAAATTTGCGTCCTCACTAAATGAATGTTTTAAAAATATTTTCAGAAATTAAAGCACTGGCTATTTTCATAATATTCTTTATTTGAAGATTTAAAAAATCAATAGGATTTAAATCCCTTAAGATGCCTGTTGGTACTTTTTATCGCTAAAAATGAATTTTTTAACAGAATAAACAGCAATTGATTATTGAGGAAATTTCCAGGTTCTGAATTAACACATTAGCATGGCTATTGTATTGCTCGATCTAAATGGATAAAATGGAAAATGCAGTTCATGCAGTTGAGAACTAAAATATTGCTTGACATTACCTCACTTTTTTCCATTCATACTTTCACTAAAATAAGTTTATTTTTACCCGTAGCCACGCTGGCACATATAATTCCAAATTTCATCGTCAATCCACATTTCACCCTTCAATTTGCATCGACCGTACCAATCTCGACAATCACATCTCATCAAATCTTTAATCTCTAGTTATTATTACATTTTATTTTTTGAAAAATTCCTTAAATTTGACCATTTTATTAGACCATCCGAAAAATTCTGGGTATCGTTTTTGAGTCGTTTCAAAATCTTAATCATTTTCGATCGTATTTTAAATTAACTTTTTATTTCTGTTTCTGGATTTGCACGCCTCTTCCATTTATTCTTCATTATCGTGCTTATTGTTTTGGTAATTTTTTTCTTCTTCTAACAGCTCTCACCATTACTGGTTAGGCTAACTCTGCTGGCTTCAAGGGTAAGACCTCTCCAAGCTCGGTCCGACGTTATCGCCAGCAGTAATAGAAACCATTCCTATACCATTGTCTAAATATATATCGCTGGTCCCCTATAAGTTCAAAATCTTTCCTGACTGCATCATCTGGATCTTGATTAGCCTTCCTTGCTTTTGACGCCAACCATCACAGGATTTAGCAATTAGCGAAATATAGGAAAAATCAACTCCTGTGGTGGTCGGTGGAAAATGTGCTCTATTCATCGAAGGCGATGCTCTGTGATAACATTAATAATTCAGGTGGTACTTGAGTAAAGATGGCTTACAATCATATGCGATTTTATCCATCCGACGGATCCGTAAAATTTATTTTAGACATGAATGGTCAAAGGTTGATGCTTTCTTAATATCTTCCACTCTCATTGGCCATGTTTCGCTGCCATATAGCAAGGTCGAGAGAATTGTAGCTAGATGGACGCAGATTTTAGTCTTCATGGTGATTTCGCGACGATTCCATAGAGGTTTCATCAACCGAAAAAACACATTTCTAGCTGTCCTTATCCAATTACAATTTCATCTTTTGCCTAACCATTTGGTATTAGAGTGGATCTAAGATATTTGAAGTCGGGCACTTCCTTAACCGGTAAATTGAACCTTAAATTGAAGTGAATTTATAAAAAATGATATTTTATCAACCTCTTATAAAACGAATGCATATATAAGACGAAAATATTTTCGTTTTATTTAAAATGATTTTGAGTCCAATTCTTGCTGCAGTTGTTGACACATTGTTTCATTATTTATATTTCCTCATAGCAAAAAGGACTATATCATCAGCGTATTCTAGGTCTGTGATGATATGTTCTGGACTGATTTGCCTCTTGAGTGCCGACAAGCGATGCCCATTAACCAGTCTATCGCATAGTTAAATATTGCTGCAATTGTTGATATATTGTTTATCATTATTTGCATTTCAAAACAAAAGGACTACATTATCAGCGTATTCAAGGTATGTGATACTATGGACTGATCTGCATACTTCTTGGGTGCCAAGAAGCGATGCCTATTATCCAGTCTATCGCATAGATGAATAGTTTTGGATAAAAGACAGATACCAATTCTATATTTCGAAAGAGTCTGTCAGTTCCCCATACAGACTTGGATACAGCTGATAAAATGCCTTTATGAGCCCAATGATCTTCTTTGGGATTCCGCCATATTTCCAGAGCGCTGCTCTATCAAGTCAATCGAAGTTAGCTGCAAAATCGATTAAGAAGGTACGGTAGGTTGCTGATATTTGAAGCGATGCACCCTTCTTAGCGCAAATATCTGGTCAGCAAATATCTGTTAACCTGATCTAAATCCATCTTGATTAGCATGAATTTTATCATCTCGTGTTGACATGAGTCTATTTAGCAGAAAAAAATTTTTTTCTGAGATGTCTGATAGGCTGATTCCACGATGATCGCAGTATGTCCTGTTATTTTCTTAGAAATTGGAAGTATAGTCGCTTTACTCCAGTCTTTTGGCATTATTTATTTTTGCCATGCTAGAGATACATTTCAAGAGTTATGAATGATGATGGACAACATTTGAAGAGTTCGGCTCGAAGGTCATCTTCTCCGGGAGCTGGCTTTAAGCTTAGATTATTTCCTCTTCTTTTGGCGGTTCACAATTGCAAGCTCGATGGGCGAATTATATTCGGGACAACAGATGGTGCACCGTAGTTAAGTTTGGCCTCAAAATATTCTTTCCATCTTTTGAGGCGATCCTTAACAGCTTTAATAAGCATTCCATTAATATTTCGTATCGTTTCATTGATCCCTTCTCGAGTTATAATTTACTTGCGAAGAAAGCGAAACAGTTTCCTATTATCACCTATCCGAACCACTGTCTCCATTCTCAAGACCATAAGATACAATATCGATTTCTTTCCCATGCTGCTATTGTTATAATTCATCATCCGATAATCAGATATTCAGACTCTCAGACTCTCCTGATATTCAGACTTTGGCAGCTTTTTTAGACAATTGGACGATTGCTTCGGACACCCAACTAATGCATTTCCTACTAGTATACCCTAGTATGGAAGTGGCTGACTTTTGTAGGCATATCTTTAGTTGTGACCAGTATTTATTCGCCTATCCAGAGATGTTCATTTCACTAAGGTGTTTCAATAATACGGTTTGCATTTATTGCTCCCGGATTTTTCAATTTGAAATAATTGAAAGATCTTGGGATGCGTTATTTCTTACGCCTTGCCATTATATGAATCTTAGTTCGAACCACAACATGATCCGATCCATGGCAGTTACCAGTTTCAGCACCCCATAAGAACGACTATCAAGTACAGAACTCTTCCAACGATCACTGACCAATATATAGTAAATCTGATTGGAATATTGATTGTCCGGAGAATTCCACGTGACTAGACGGTACCGAAGGCATTTATTAGTAAATTAGCAAAGAGTTCATGCTCTTCAGCAAAATGAAGAAGGCATTCTCCATTGGCGCACTGGACCCCGATGCCACATTTGCCATTTACCGAATTCATCGCAACGGACAAATCCTCGCCTTCCTTGACGGGTTTTGACTTATCTCTATTCGCGAGCAAATTCTGTGGTTGTGCCTTGGAATTTTATTACTTATATTTATCGCATGTACCACCGGGTCAGAAGTAGCATGCACGCCAGAAGACGTGAACGTCGCGCCAAAGAGAATTGGTTCCTTCATCAAAGAGTCACTTAGGGATAGAGATTCAGGTAAGCCCCCAGCAGCTGCCCGAATTTTTGACATAATGGCGTTTACTCCTGTCAAAGACAGAGAATAGAGATAATTAAATTTTAAAAAAAGACAAATTTAAACATAATTTGAAAAAAAATTTTCTAGAAAAAATTTATCTACATTCGATCTATTGAAAAGTACAAATACACACTAAGAAACACAGAAACCACCAGCTAATTTAAAGAAAACTAAACTATATAATCTACTTTAATCCAAAACCACCAAAGCAAAAATAATCGTTTCAATACCCAAAATTATTTTTTATGAAATTAACAACTTAAAATTAATATACTCGTTGAATATACTCGTTTGTTGCATCAGACAAATATGCCACATTTCCTTAGGGATTGAAATACAGGTGAGTCGGACTTCTGGACAGGTTCACTCCTGCTGGGAATAGAATCCTAGTGTCGGCGCTCCGAATGGAGCAACAACCCACTAAGCCATCTTATTCCCAAATTAACAGGAATATCGTCTTATATATTCATTTCGAAGTGCCAACTTCGTTATATTTTGTTTGGCACCATTAACTTTCCATCATTGCAAAAAATTTTTTGCAGATTTGATTCGCATTTCGTGATTGGTGCCATAGAGATGGATGATGTTTCGAGAAAGGAAGGAACTTGTAGCTGACAGTGCGATGTTCTAACATAACACTCTGAAGCAGAGACATTTCTTACGTTGCTTAAAGCAATCTGACCATTTGTAAAATAAATATGAGATAACTTAAATTCCTTCAAGATCAGGTAAATCAAACATCCTGGATCCTGGATAAATCTTGTACATGCTTCCAAAATAATATTGGATTTGTGGAAATTGACTGTAATAAATGAAATAATATTGGATTTGTGGAAATTGACTGTAATAAATGACTGCTTTAACTTTGATTTGATATGAATTCAGGAAGCCGTAATTATTAAGACTGCTTAAATCTATCTATAAATCTACAAAACTAATTCGCGCTTACATAATTTTTTCAACGCATTATTATTTTCCTGGAATAAACCACCAAATAAGTTATTTTTATTGTTTCCATTAATAGGAATAAATTAAATAAAATTGTTCACAATATCGCTTTATCTCTTTCAATATAATATATTTTGATCATCAATTAATTTTTATAAATTTCTTTTATAACATTGAATGAATGATAAAATATTCGTTATCATTTTATCACCATTTGCTTATGTTTTTTTTTCGAAAATATTCTAAGGATTGATAAACGTTGGTAAATTTTAATAACCTGAAAATGTTGAATGAGCTACAGAAACAAGAAATCACTCTATTACCAGCCTATGGTCATTGAGATTTTAAATTTTGAAGATTAAAATTCATAAATTTTGCAAAAAATTATCGAAGCTGGTTTGTCCTTGTCAGTTAAGATGTTTATCAATGCCATTTTTTTCATTCCATTAGGCATTGCAAAATTTTTTTCAGCATTTTCGATTTTTTCCTCTATATTTATTTTTTATTGAATAATTAGGAAAAAATTGTGAAAATTTTCATAATTTATTATCTTATTAAAAATGTTTATATAAAACATGGATTTATAAACAAAAGCGACAGATAAATGAAACGGAAAACTGAAAGGAAAAATTGGATATTTTTTGAATAAATTTAAAAGTGGAAATTCCATAAAAGATGTGATGAAAGAAATATATGACCCGGAAAGTTTTTCAAAAACAGTGTTAATAACCGGAAGCTTGTACGGGAGGAGCAGCTTCCGGAACTGCTTGTTCTATTGGAGCCGGCGATTCTTCGGCTTGATATGGAGCTGCTACAGGTATAGCAGCAGGTGGTGGTGGAACCACTTCATCACCATACTGATTATTTCGTTTCTTTCGGTAACCTGATGGTTGTACTGGAGGAGCAGCTTCTGGAGCTTGTTCTATTGGCACTGGCGCTTGTTCTGCTGGAGATGGAGCTGGAAAGGATGCCGCAGGCACTGGTGGTGCCAATTCATCTCCATACTGGTTATTTCTCTTAAAACCTGGAATATTTATAGTATCTTATAGGACTGCTTATTTTGAGTTATAACTAAAGTATTGGAGAGAAGTGGGAATTTTTCTTAAACCTCATATTCTTATAGTTTTTTTGCGGATATTCCTATATCAAAAATTCTATTCCGAAATAAGTATTTCGAAATAAGAAATAAGTATTTGTCGAATTAATGTTTCAACTCGAAGTGTGAAAATAAATTTTCCCTGCAGACCAGAAATCTATTTTATTCTGATCATGTCTAGGCTTGGCTTCGATTTTGGCCATAATGTCAATTTTTATCAGTGCCCGAAAATCTTTTTTTTACTATTTCTAAGCTATAAATAGAAATAAAATATATATTCTAAAAAATATATAAATATTATGCCGTTCATCGAAATCTGTTTTAAAATTTCGAATCCACAATTAATAAATGTCGTAGAATTCCTCAGATGTATCTTCATTCTATTTTATCGCCATGTGATCGTGTATAATTGATAATTGTATCAGATTTTTCAATGTTTTAAAAGTAACTTCTTGAATGGATTGAAAGGCTAATGGCAATTATTGGCCATTCAATAGTATTTCAGTCTCTTCGATTAGAAATTCCGGAAACAGTCTGGAAAGGAATTTCGGATTTCTTGTGTTTTAATTTTACAAAGGATCCTAGGGAAGAAATCGAGAAAAATACAAAAAATTCCCAAGAAACTCACGTTGATGTGCTTCCAGCATGGCAAATAAGATCAAAAAGCAACACGAAATAGTAATACAACGCATAATTAAAGAAAAATTTTTATTACAAAAAATCAAGTTTATTGCTGAAAGTGGCAGTGAAGAGAAGCGTTGGCAAGTGGAGGACAAGTGTTAGCTCGAAAACTTTCCGACATGTTCTGTCAATCTCCAACAATACTTTATATAGCAGTTGCTTTCATGTAATAACAGCGATGACAAACCTGTTTTCAATACTAAATTTAACGCCCTCCATTACCATTCTTATTGTATAATTTTAGATAATAAAAAATTTCCAATTTTCTCTTTCCAAAATTTCAATAAACAATTTACTCTCCTAATTTTCTAACCTGGAACAGAAAACTTTTTGCCCACCTATTTAATTGGCTCCTAGGAATTCTGGAATTTTTTAATAAATTGAATTGTTAGCGTTTTGCTGCACATCACTTATATGCATTTTATTGTTGAATTTAATCTCAAATCATGTATTTATTTTTTTATCTTCCCAAAATAATGACAGACATAAAATTGTTCTATAAAAATCTGCCTCTATTTTCTAGGAATTATATGCAGTTTATAATAATTGATAAAGAATTTTTTAAATTTTAACGATAAAATTTACAGAATAATAAAAAGTTGTAGACAGAATTTTGTAGTTGTCTGGCAATATCAACCTTATTGAGATCTGCACAAAAGACGCCGATTTTTGGCAATTGTTGGTGGATGGGGAATCAGTCCTAAATGGATAAATGGATATAAATCAACTAACTGCTTGCAATTCATGACTTGCATGTGCACTATTCGATTTCACTTGAATTATTTTATTTTCAAATAAAGCTGTTTGTTATGAAACAGATATTTCGAGTATATTATGATACTTGGAGTAATGTCAAGACATTGTTGTTGGTTCCTAGAAACAAATATGTTAGTGAAATCCGGTTGGCACTAGGGACTTAGCTCCATTCTTTTCCAAATGGCTTTCATCCCAAATAGCTCTCTGGTGTGGTCTCATTTAAATAACCAGCCAGCCAAACCAAAGAAATCTAAAGGTCAGGGTCAGTCAAATAAAAGACTATAGCTATGAAAAAGTATTCAGATATTATCCATATATAATATAAATCATTCATCAATAACATCTATGTGATCTTAACCGGAGTGGCGTGAATACTCACTCGTACTGACTATGGATGAGATGGGTGTTCATATTCTGCTCAAATATCTTATGGTTATCAAAAGTTCGTCTTTTTGACTTCAAATCTCGAATAATTATCATATCTTGGAAATGAATTTTATTTTTTATATAATTGTTACTATATAATTGTTACTCTTCAGATGATTTAAATATAAAGACATTCAATTTGATTTTTATGCCTGGAAAAGTTCGCTCTAATTCCGATTAAACGCCGTATGGCTTATATCTATTTCAAGGAGAAATTTCAAGGAGAAATATCTCGGTCATCAAGTGAAAATGCTCCTAGTCCGCGCCGATATGGCGGCGATAGAGATTTCTGTGCGGAGCTTCAAGATAGACCATAGGTAACATAGCCATAGTGAGAGGAAAATGGAATGCATGAGTAGAGCAATTTGCACAAAGATATTTGATTTTAAGGTATTAAGGTATTGATCTAATATTTGTGATAATACTTGATTTAAAATCTTGAAAGTTAGTTAAGAAGGTTAAGGTTAATCAGCGATGTATTTTACAATGCATTCAGTTGTTTCGGCTCCTCATTAATTAAATTTATATTATGTTAGCAATAAGAAGATTATATTTCTTGAATATTTAAGATGTCCTTCAATTTTCTAAGTAATTTCAAAATTTTATTAGTTTTATTATTAGTTTTAGAAGCAAGGACCATCAAAATGATTTTTCATGTATTTGCCGATTTTTTTTAAGTTAAAGTAGGACTTTAAATGTTTTTCAAATAAGAAAAATTAATTTTTTTCCATTTTTTACTGAGGTATTCTACAGATGATTCAAGGCCATCGCCTTCCTCCGTTTATTTGAAAAAATTTTTAGTCTTGAATAAATTCCTAATTCGATAATTACTTCACTTTTTTTGTTTTTTTTCTTTAAATTTATTAAGAAATTCTAGATCAATATTAATTGAATCGCAGCACTACTGGTTTGGTTGACTTGGCTGGTTGCATGCTTCTGGACGAATATTCATCGTATTTCTAAATTCTTTTCTGGATTGGACTAAAAATTAAGAAGCATTGTTGCGTTGAAGTTTTCTCATAATCATGATGTTCAAATGCATTTACGAATTTTACGAAGACGAATTTTCGCCTTCATAAATCAAGCATAATTGAAAATTTCGAAAAAAAAGCACACACTTAAAATTTAATTTAATTAAATCATTTTGTTAACCAAAAATTGTCGAACAGAATTTCTGAATTTTTATTTTCGTAATACAAACTTCATGGCTTATAAAATAATTTTACAAAGAATTTTGTTGAAGAATTCGAAAAAATTTTCGATATTTTTATGAAAAATTTCTAGAAGAAATAAAACGAAATTTTTTCTCTCAAAGGTTTTTAGATGAATGTAAGTAAATGGTTAATATTCAGCATTTAGTCGGACTCATTCTTCTCGTTGTTAGTGCGACGAGTTTTCTTTACCAGGGAGTCGCCTTTTTAATGGCGAATTTACCCTTCTCAGATGCAGGTGCCCACTCATAATGCTTTTGAAACGATAATCTATGCGCTTACCTATTACCTGCATGCGCTTTAACGGTTTTTTGGGGATAAAAGATGCGAATAGGGCTAAGAAGTCGCCAAAAAATACGATTTTCAAAAAATAAAATTCATTCAAATTTCGCGAAATATACTGTATTTACATTTTCCTTTCAATGAACTCCGTTAATTAGCAGAGTGGACAGGAGTAGACCTGTCAAATTTCAGCGTTGCTGAAATTTCAGACCCATCTGTACTTATATTTTCAAGTGACTTTTTGCCGGACCTTTCTTATCCTAATGGCCAACAAAATTCTAGTCGAACTATAAACAATGCTTGCTGTTCGAAGAAAAATAATTAAAAAATCGACGATGACGATGTTTACATGGAAAAAAACTAAAATCTATAAGTCTCTTTTTCTCATTATTTTTCCACATCCAATAAATCATATTAAGAAAGAAACCAGAAAAATAATTATGAGAGAGAGGCGAAGAAAAAACATCCAAAATTTTCAGAGTATTCATTGAAGAATTTTTAAAATTTTTGAAAAAAACAAAATTCGTAAATTTTCGTTACCGTATAATTATCGAATGCGCTTAGCAGATGGAATTTTCGAAGAAAAAAGAAAAAATGATAAACTTTGAATTTTCTCATGAAAAAATTTCTCATCAAAGATTACTAAACATGAAATATAAATTGAGAAAAAGCTTAGATTTTTACAGGATTTAATTCAAAAAGTTTGTCAGTAGCACTTTCGTTTTAGTAAGTAAGTAAGTAAGATGTCAGCGCTCATATTTGCAGTCAGATTCGCTTCCTGGCTGTTAGCACAGTATGGTCAGAAATTTTTTGCCGGAGAGTTCCACCAAGTGAATTTTCTTACGAGTTATTCACTCGCCAGGAACACAAGCCAAACATTTGCCTTCCTCAGAGCGATAATCTTAACTGCCACGGCAACCACGCGCGTTTAATTCTCCCTGAAACGATATTTTTCGCTAAGCGACTTTTGGAAAGGCAAATTTATTTCTTTCTTTATCGTAAAATATTTCAGCAAAAAGTTCGAAGATTTTACTTTTCTATTTTTCGTTATTTGTTGCTTTTAAGTGAATAGAACTTAGCGCCTTTGCTTAGACTTAACTCGAGCAGAAATTCGTTGCCAGGGATCGATTGTCCGCCAGCACCACCGGGATTTTTTTAAGTCATAGGTTCCCCGTTATCAGAGTCAGGGAACCGACCCTCTAATTCGCTATCCCCTCGGCTATTTCGCTAACCCCTCCATAGCCATTGTTCTTAACTGTTTTTCCAGGTCCCCATTAATTGCCCTTCCGTAAGCGTTTTCAATTTCTTTCATATTCATAGTTAGCATATTTTTTGAAATTTTAAACATGTTAAACATTAAAATTTTAATGTTTTCAAATGTTAAAAAGTTTTTGCTGCTTTAATTTTAATACTTTATTCCCTCACCCTCACAGTATTTATTTCAATAAAAGTTTCGAACTCCAACTTTGGAGAACTCCATTTCTGCGAAATTCAGTCTTTCTTAACTTTCAATGAATTCGTAAATTTGTGTAAACGAATGGGCCGCACTCTTCGTTGGCTGCGGCCATAATTTGAGGCGGCCTCGATGTTGCTCGATTGTAATTTAATTTTTTAAAATTTTGCTTTTACTTTTTACTTTCTTAAAATGATTTGATTCATTTTGAATTTAAAGCTGAAATTAATTTAAATTTCAATTTTTACAGTTTCCTGTGGATTAATTTTAAAGCCTATGAATTCCACTTTTTGGATTAAAAAAAATTTAAATTCTTCGCAGAATTATCTTTGAACGAAAGGAAAATTCTGAAAAGGAGAGACCGCCATCCATCAAAAATTCAAAGTTCCGAACGATACTTTTGGCGTACTTTTCGGTTATATGGTCCACAGCGGGTGAAAGCTGTTCGTTGTATATATATGTATATATTCACTTCGTTTTATTTTTTTTCCCCTCTTGCATTTTCACTTTTTCACTTTCTGTCTATCGTCCTTCGCTGATCATCGTCATTTCCTTAGCGACGATTGCTCGCATCTTGAATCTTTTTCCACTTCTTTATCTCTCCTTTAGCCCGGTTAAACGATGGTCAGCGTTTATCAAACAGCCGCAAAGTTGCGTGGTCTCTGCCGTAGCGGTTTGAACATAAATTTTTTGTCATTACGAAATTTTTTGGCGATTTCTATTGATCAGATAATTTTTCAAGTTTAGGAATGCAAAAGCGATGGCTGCTTACAAAATTCCAGACAGGTTGTTGATCAATTCAAATCTCATAGTTATGTTCTCAAGTGATGAAGATTTATCGGACGACAAAGCGTTTGATTTTTTGTTGAAAAGGATTCTAAACAATAGAAACATGTCGCTAGAAAGGGTTATTTTTATTTACAAAAGCAAATCAGGACCATTTCTGTGAAATTTTTGAGAAAATTTTATGTGTGATTAGAGATGGAAGTGTAGGTGTGCAGCTAGCAAATTCCGCATTTACTCTTGCTGAGATGCTTCCTGATGCTTCGAGATGACAGTCTGAACAGCAGTCATTCAGCTGCCTCACTTTTTTATTTATTAATTATTAACTTATTTTTGTAATGAAATATAATCAAAATTTATCGTGAATCGTTAAAAATTTATGAGAATAAAAAAAGAAGAAGAAGAAAAGAAGTTTTAGAAAAATTCGTTTTCCTTACCAGATCAACTACTTATATTCGGAATATAAGAGCACAGTTAAATATGCATAAGACTGGTTTAAAAAAATTCACAAATGTTAAATATATTTCATTGCAATATTGAAGCATTGAATATATCATTATTTAATGGATTATTGAAACTTTAAAGAATCGCTGATTTTAAATTTTTTTTAAAATTTAAAATTAAATTTTTAAAATTTTTATTTTTTGTATTTTTTTCATAATTCTGTTCCTTTGTATGTTTACAGAAAAAAATAAATAAAAGCTTGATTATCTAAGAATAATAATTGACTAATATTGATCGTTCTTTGTAAATAAATCAATTTGTCCAACTTTTCTGTAAGCGTAAAAAAATTATTTCCTTTGATATATTTTTATTATTTTTAGTAAATAAACTAAAATATGTAATAATTATATAAATAATTTAATAAATCTGATAAAGCTGAAAGTTTTTAAAAGTTCGCATAAAATTTGATATCTCATTCACTTATTTATTATATTTCAGATTTTATGGTTTCGGCATACACCACCTACTCGACTTCCAAATTTACGGCCAACTGTCTATCAACTTTCACGGATTGATTTTCGTTATTGTTATGATAAACTTCTGCATCACGTTGCTGAATTATGCTTGAATTGGTCTTCGTCTTCAAAATCGTTTTCAGCGATAATTGTAATTTTCTTCGTTTATTTTCATATTTTCGTTTTTACCATTTATAAAAATTCCTCTTTTCCTATAATTTACAACATTCATTTTCCTCTGATCGTATTATTTTCTCCTTTAATTGAATCTCGTATATTGGATAACATGGAGTATGTTTTCAAAGCTCGTGAAAATAAAAGTGAACAATTTAATAAATCTATACGAAAAAAATTTTAATTTTAACATTTTTACTTGTAGAGTGCAGCCTATATTCAAACTAATTCATTATTATTTTTATTTTTATGTATCAATATTTTCAGATCGAATTCAGTTCTGTTGATGTCTTAAACCAAAATTCTTTTGGTACAATGCTAGCATTATTATCTGATCTATTGTGGTGGAAAAATTTAGAATTCAAAAATGATAATTTTATGTCCAGTTCAGGTTTAATTGTCTTTCAAATTATTGTTTTTTTACGAATGATGGAAGGTAATGATTTACCTTCGATCGCTACACTGTACACTGATAATATATTGTTTATTCATAATGATGATATAATCGAAGAGCTTATGCACAGAAACAAATAAGTTTTGATATTTTTTTTAATAATATATTCTTAGGCTTAAACATACTAAGACTTTCAAATTGCTAGAAAATATAATTCGATGATCAATTTTCAATCAATTTATCTGTATAATATATTTTTTCAGAAAAAATTTTTTGGTAAAATGTATGCTTCAGTAACATAAAGTTTGTAGATAAAAAATTTGTGTTACAAGAAATAAGTAAATAAGATCCCCAATTAGATGAAAAATTAGATTTCTTCACAGGAAAAAAAAAGTTGACAATTAGCTACAAAAGGGTTAATATTAAATTCTATAGTAGTTTATAGGAAGACTTGATAAACTCGATATTTGCAATTTTAGTATGGAAATATGTTCTTTTATGGAAATATTTGGAGAAAATTTACCAAATAAATAATTTACCAAAATTTTGATTGGAGTTTTTTTTTGAATTTATTTATTTACAACTCATATTTTAGAAAAAGATATTAATAAGATTTTAAAGAACTGGCAAAGACTTCGCCGTATACAATGGTTGATTACGAAGGTTTAATGAGGTTCTGAATTGGTGCGGTTGCAAAAAATTTCCACAAATATTGGTAGCTTAGTAATAGCAGTGGAAGAGAAAATTGCTTCCAGATGTAGCATCAGATCGAGAAGCTTCGAAACGCCTTAGCATAATAGCCAGCTGAATGGTGTTTAAAAAAATAAAAATAAATTTATCCATGAAACAGCTTTCTGATGCTTGACCTGTATGACTGCATAAAAGTCCTATTTTTTATATTTTTTAATAGATAAATTTAGGATATTGCTTTTGTTCGACAAATAATTAAAGACAGCAATAGTATTTTATGATGGCAACAGTTGTTAAAAATTCTCAAGAATTCAATTAATCATTGGTGCTTTCTGTCGAAAATTTGTAGTTTTTTTAAAATTTTCAAAATTATAGTCTGGTCAAAATGAATTAGAAGACAGAATATTTTTGAAGTTATTATTTTTTACTTTTTTCTTGATGAATATTTTTTTATTTTCGCGAAGTTTCAAATTTTCAGTTCATTATATACTATTCAAAACATGGTTATTTGTTTTTAGAAATGGAAATTGATATAAAATTTTCGTACATTATCAAGTTTTAACCTTTAACTATAAGTAAATTAAAAATGAAGTGCGATCGGATTAGAAATCAACTTTAATTCCATCCAGTGTGAATATCTTCATCTTAGTAGTCAACTAAACCAGAAGAAGAATATTTCCAGATTCCATTTGTCGAATTTCGCATTGAAAAATTTTGTGTAGAATATATTCGTAATATTTTTATTCATTTTCCATTTTTCGTTTCTGATTGAAAAATACTTTTGTTCAGTCGTCATATACTTTGCTAGATAAATATTTCCGTTTTTTACGATTGCATTGACCAGTGTGAAGAAATCTGAATTCAAAATATAATGATAAATTCACCATACATATCTAATTTATTCCGTTAATTCATAATAATTCACCGTTTGAGAATTTGAGGATGAAGTGTAAGGAAAGGGGATGATTAAGTGGAATGCTGCTACGACTGTGATCGAGCTATCACAGGTTTGAGGGAAGTAAATCTACGTAAAAACGAAATCCGAGTAATGTTGCTATCGCATCTAACTCAGGTTCCCAAATGATTCACTGAAGAAAGAATCTCATTTCTGTGGTGCGTCTAAAAACCAGAAATTATGAGTACTTTTAGAAGAACGTGTAAGCAAAAAACTAACATTTTTGTTTTCATTGCACTTGAAATGAAGCATTCGTCGTGATAGGATGAAATGCGTACCTTAAAAATTTATTTTTTAAATATTGGAAATTAGAAATGATGTGGTTATAGAAGAATAATTGATAAGGTTGTCAACTTTAACAAGTTTAACTTTATTAGAAGTTTATAAATTTATCAAACATGAGAGACATTACAAATAGTATATGGTGAAAAGGATGGTTATTAGTGTGCACGATCCTTACAGATATAATTATCCGATATGGTATAATTATCCGATAATATTTTTACAGATAACAGATATATTTACAAGTGGCAAATATTTTAATTAATTAAATTGAATTTAAATTAATTAAATTAATAAATTAATAAATAAAATTAAAATTGAGTGGGTGGTTACTCATAATCTGCCGTGGAAGTAAAATTTTGTAAAGTTCCTGCTCTCTTAAATCTTCGCATTTATTATAAAAATTCCTTCCCAGCAGCATGATTTGTTTATAAGCTTTCCATGCTTTACCAAATTTGAATTTTCGATTGACAAAAAAGTTCTTAGACCATTAAGCGATGTAGTAGCATTGAATAGCACTGAATGATATATAGTCAAATAAGCATGGCATCCATTTCATCCATCGCTAAAAAATGTATTCATTTATTTATAAAGGAAAGTTTATAGTACATTATATATAAGGAAAATATATGAATAAAAAGCATATTCAATTTTATGAAAAAAAATATGACGAAAGTTCGGTGGTTAATAAACAATGGATGGCAGTTGACTGCAATAAATGAATTGTCAAAATCTTAGAATTATTTTCGCAAAATTTTTCATGAAGTTATATATCACTTGAATTTATTTTATATATATATATATATGTATTTAATATATACATTTTTAAAAAAATCTTCAAAGATAAAGATAACTTAAAATATTAATTTCCCTTAGTCGGGCCACCCAATCCATAAATAAATCCTGAAACAAGAAATAAGTAAATAACACCACAATGAGATAAATTACTGACAAAAGATTATTTCCGGCTCAACTGGTTCCACTATTAGAGAGATTCATTTTTCAGAGAGTGAGAATAGAAAAAAATAGATATTGGTCTCGGATATTGGTCTAATGAATATTTGGAAATCCTTCGCTTCGATATTTGTGCAATGCAATTCTTTTAGATTTTTTCTTGAGATTTTTTCTTGAAAATATTGTTAACAATCAATTACCATGATAAATTGAATTGATGATTTAATCACAATCTACGTCTGATCTATAAAAGCAGAAATCGAATGCTGTTTTTGCCTGGTTCAAAAAACTCCAAAATCGACATATTTAAATCAATTATCATTAAGTTACTTATTAAAAATATTTATAATTTGTAAACTAATCAAAAAGTCACTTATACTGCAAAACATTTTTTCTATGTTCACTTCCAAAATATTTGAAATTTTGCAAATTTCGAGAACATAAGATACTGAGGCCGGTTATCATAAAATTTGAACCAACTCTGCCCTTTTTTAGAAAATTTGAATTAATTCAATCACAAATATGATTCCAGAAAAAAAAGTTTCTAATGTTATTCATGTTTATTAATTCAATTTTGCCACAGAAAAAATTTAAAAATTCGACGCTCTTGATAAGATATTTGTCAACTTTTGCTGCAAAACATTCATCAGTTTGGTGGACAACAAATTTCAATGAATTTATTTTTTAGTATTTTAAAATCTGATAAAAAAATTATAATTGATAATAAAAATTATAATTGATAATTAATAAAAATTATAATTGATAATTTTTAATAATAATTGATAATAATTTTTTCTATCATCTTTTTTTAAAATTATCTTAAAAATATATTAAAAATATATATATAAAAATATATATATATTTAATATATTTAAAAATAAAGCAATCGCCGCGAAAAAATCAGAAAATTTTATTTTATTTACCAAAAAAATATATGAATGCCATTAAACTGCCGAAAAAAAACAAGTTTTTCTAATTAATGAGCACTCCGAACTGTAAATAAAATTGGAAATTTGATAAATTTCCAATCAAACAAAAAACCATATTAAATGGAAATATCTGTTTTATTTGACCATTGTTAGCATGCAGTAGCACTCATCATTTCTGGTTAAGTTTAATAGGACGAGGCTAAAGAGCCACTTCGGGATAGAAGCAGCATGAATCTTAAAAGGGAATTATTATGAAAAATATCATTAAAAACTATTATTATTATTACAAATATGTTGAATAATAATATTTAAATAAAATGACGCTTTTGTTGAGCAGGGTTCTTACAATTTCGTAGGGCCATTCTCAACATTGATTAATACTAATTTTTTAAAGATTTTTTTATATAATTTCTGAAGATTGTAATTACCGATTATTTTTATTAAAGAAAAACTAAAGCAACTTTGCAAGTTATTTCTGAAGTGAATAATTTCAATTCAAAATAGTGTTATTTGCAAACTTCACAAATATGCCTAAAGTAGCCTTGGATTGTTTCAGCTAAGTTTTTCGTTTGCATTAAGTCTGAAATTAAATTTTTAGTCACTTTTTCGATGAAAAAAATGATGTAACAATTTTATGATTTTAATAGTTTGTTACTAATAATTCGAAAAATATTTCCTTATGATCCGGAACTTATTTCTTAGAAGCGGACAATTTGGAGAACTTAATCATTTCGGCAAGAAGAAAAGTTCCAAACGTTCCAAAAATAATACTGTAAATAATGAAATAATGAATATGACAATATAAATATATAGAAAAGATCAGAATATGATAGGTGGTTTTATTGCATATTTTAGAAAAAATAAAATCGAAATCTAAGTCGAAAAATTGTTAGATAAATATTTTCGTAGGCACATCTTCACACTTTCATATTTTGTCATTTAATAGTTAATTTCTGTTGTTAATGAAACCTTCATTCTCATGATAGAGCGGATAACCTATTTCTACTGCAGAAGGATCTTAACAGAATAGCCAATGGCTATATGACAGGCAAATTACCTTTTTATTTCAAAAGTGTTTTTTCACTATTACTGGTTAAACTCCACTGGCTTGTCGCATTAAACAAATATGCCACAGAGTCCTTTGGCGATAGAAATACAAGTGTCGCCAGTATCACTCAAATTTTTGGGCAATTTTACTCAGGGGAAACTCAGCACTCGTACTCCCAACTGAGCAACTACCTACTGAGTCAGCCAACTGGCTATATGACAGGCAAATTACCCTTTCCTTTCAAAAATGTAGCGTTCTTCATATCAATTCAAAAGGACTCGA